AGTGCGACGAGGCCTTCGCCCTCCGCGGCACACGCTGCATTCCCCGCGGCGAGTGCGGCTGCAACTTCGAGGGGCGCCAGCTGGCCACCAACCAGACCTTTTGGATGGACATCGCCTGCCACTTCCTCTGCTACTGCAACGGCTCCGACAACAGCGTGTACTGCGAGAATGTTTCCTGCAAGGACGATGAGTACTGCCTGGAGGAGAACGGCCTCTACTACTGCCACGTCCGCACCGACGCCTCCTGCATCGTCTCTGGCTACGGACACTACCTGACTTTTGACGGCTACACCTTTGACTTTCAGAGCAGCTGCGCGTTGGTCCTGTGCACCACGATCGCCCGGCCGAGGGCGGAGCGCTCGGACACTTTCCCGGCGTTCACCGTCACGGCCAAGAATGAGGATCGGGACACCTCTCTGGCCCTGTGGGTGAAACAAGTTGAAGTGGAGGTCTTTAATTACCACATCGTCATCCACCGGGCCTACAAATACACCGTGCTGGTGAGTGCAGGGCCACGAGGGTCAGGGATTTTTCTCCCCGCCGTGGCTCCCAAACCACGGAGCGATTCCCTAGGCGTGTGGCCTTGCGGCTCGCAAGGTGTTCCGGGGGTCGGGATGGGCGTAGGCTCGGGCTTATCCCTAGGGTGCCGCCGGGCGCAGCTTTGGAAGAGGGCTGCCCTTTCGGCTGCCTCGTGTCAGATGTAGGGGCAAGGATGGCGGAGAGCTTGCTTTGGGAGCGCCGAGCAGCCCTTGCTTGTGCCCTCCTGCGGCAGCTCTGATCACCGTTCCTGCTCACGGGGCATCTCGTTTTCTTCCCCGCAGATCAATGACGAGCGCCTCTACCTGCCCCTGAAGCTGGGTCAGGGCAAAGTGAACATCTTTGCCTTTGGCTTTCACATCGTGGTCGAGACCGACTTTGGGCTGAAGGTGGTGTATGACTGGAAGACTTTCCTCTCTGTCACGGTCCCGCGCAGCTTCCAGAACCTGACCTACGGCCTCTGCGGCCGCTACAACGGCAATCCCGAGGACGACCTGACGGCGGCGGGCGGCGTGCCGGCCGCCAGCGTCGTAGACTTCGTCCAGAGCTGGGCGAAGCGGGACGCGTTCTGCCGCGTGGGCTGCGGTGAGCGATGCCCCGCCTGCGGGAAAGTGGAAGGCTTCTGGAAACCCCAGCAGCTCTGCAGCCTCATCCCGAGCCAAAGCGGCGTCTTCGCCAAGTGCCACAGCCAGCTCAGCCCTGGCTTCTTCTACAAGAACTGCCTCTTTGACACCTGCGTCGACGGGGGAGCCATGCAAACGGCCTGCAGCTGGCTGCAGAATTACGCCAGCACGTGCCAAACGCAGGGCATCGCCATTATCGGCTGGAGGAACTTCACCTCGTGCTGTAAGTGCCACCCTGCCTCCGGGCTCTTCTTTTCCTAGAGGCGCTTCCCGGGGCTGACCACCGTCGCTGTAGCGCTGGCCTGAGCTCATCGCATAGAGCGGTCGCGGAGCGGCCTGGGGAGCACCAGCGGGTGCCCGCTTCCTCCAGGCTGTCGACTCAGACGGGTCCCAGGTGCCCACGGCCCGTGCCCGGGGATGGACCCGGGGGTCCCCTCCTTCCCTGCAGCCCACAGAGAGGCGAGCTGAAGCGGTGGGGTAGGTGCGCACGTAGTCACCGCCACGTGCACCAGACCGACCTGCCTGCGGATCAGGGATGGGGAGGCCCACAGCCCTGCAGCCGGTCCCC